GACGTTAAAGGGTGTGCGTTGGATATTTACGCTTTTGCAAAAGCGTCCTATATGGCGCTTTGGGATGAGAATGCGTTGGATTTCTCATATGCACGCGTAGCGGCTACTGTTTTTTTTTTTTTTTTTTTTTTTGGGGTTTTTTTTTTTTTTTTTTTTTTATACTAGGCCTCTAGGGAAGTATTCGATTTCAGGCGCAGCATTTATTTCAACTAACAATAACGATTTTCATGATACAGTTTTAGTTAATAAGACCTAACTAAGACCTAAGGTCCTAACTTTTATGTGTCCCATTTCGCCATAAACCCTTTCATTTTTAAATGGAGTATTCTTTAAAACTGTGACACCTTAGTAAACATAATAAAATAAACATGACATGAATAGAAAATAAAACGGCTCATAAAACGTTTAGTTTGACCGCCTGAGGAGGATAAACATTTTCTGAACGTTTTATTGAGGGGAAAAGACCTCGTGAGCCGTTCATGAAAGTGCTGCTACTGTGTCACATGACACTAAACCCCAAAGGTCCACTGCTATTTAATGTCATGAATTGTGCTACTATGGCGTTTGGAGATTGTTGTTGTGAAGGTACACATCTTAAAGTTTACAGTGGCTTCTAAGAGCTGTCTCGAGATCAGTTTCTCCGACTTGGCAAACAAGTGTCTTTATGATGTGAGGGCCTTAAAGCAAACAGACACGTTTTACATCAGCGATGACGTCAGCCATCCGGACAGGCTTGTGTCCATGGCGATGGCAAGCACTTCTATGAACCTTCTTTAACTTTATTTCATAAAAACCCTCCTTTTATAACATGCTTAAAATTCCTTTCCATATCCCGAATAGCATGTTGTTGTAGCTTTAAAGGGTTAGTTCACCCAAAAATGAAAATGATGTCATTAATGACTCTCCCTCATGTCGTCCCAAGACCTCCGTTCATCTCCAGAACAGAGTTTTAGATATTTTAGATTTAGTCCGAGAGCTTTCTGTCCCTCCATTGTACAGTAAATGTGTGTACGGTATACTGTCCTTGTCCAGAAAGGAAATAAAGACATCATCAAAGTAGTCATGTGACATCAGTGGGTTAGTTACAATGTTTTGAAGCATCGAAAATACATTTTGGTCCAAAAATATCCAAAACTCTGACTTTATTCTGCATTGTCTTCCGGTTCAGTTGTGGATCCGCGTTCAGACGTAAGACGCGGCTGACGTGTGTGTGGTGCGGCTGAGCTTGGGTTACAGTCTGAGGGAGACGCACGCTGTACAAAACAATCTTCACAAACATGTCTAAGGATTTCCACACAGAGGAACACTTGCATTGTTTTGCCCAGCCATATTTTTTTGAACCCGAATACACGGACGCACCACACACACGTCAGCAGCGGCACTGAACGCTTTGATTGACAACAGAACTGGAAGACAATACAATGCTCAATAAAGTCGTAGTTTTTGTTATTTTTGGACCAAAATGTATTTTCGATGCTTCAAAACATTGTAACTAACCCACTGATGTCACATGACTACTTTGATGATGTCTTTATTTCCTTTCTGGACAAAGACAGTATACCGTATACACACATTTACAATGGAGGGACAGAAAGCTCTCGGAAATTCCTGTAAATTTCTGACAACTGCATTTAAAAATCCATTTCTTTGAAATTATTCAGTTGATAAATAGACCGCATAGGCCAATTATTAACAGCTTTCCCAAATCTTAAGTCTGCTATGCTATTACATATTGATAATGTAAACAACCTTGTGTATTCGTTTACTGTAGAAGTTGAAATGTTAATGCAGTGATAGTCATTTGTCCTGCATTTATTGATTAGTTTGCATATTCTTAGAAGAAATGGTTCTATTTAGAACCAGAAATGGTTCCATCCCCGCTTCATATATGGAACTCCAAAATGGTTCTATATAGAACCATTTTTTTTTTTGGTAAAAGGTTCTATTGGCCAAGTATGGAACCCCAGGGTTCTATATAGAACCCAGAGGAACCCTTTTTTTAAGAGTGTATAGAACCTTTTAGGGGTTCCAAATACATAGCGCTGATAGAACCTTTTAAGGTTCTATATAGAACCTTTTCTTCTAAGAGTGATATGAAACTTTTTCAGTTGTTATATGGGAAGCAAAAAAAAAAAATAGTAGTTATTGATTACCGTAGTTAAAGAGCCCCTATATAGCATTTGAAATGTTCCTATTTTTGTTTTAGGAGTTCCCAAAAACAGTTTAACATGCATGCAAGGATAAAAACACTTTATTTGTCTTATAATATGCATTTATTTTTAACTGATTTGCTCACCGACTCCCAAATGATTCGTACAACGAAAATCACCAGTATTATCAAGGTTTAGGTTCAGGGTTATTAGGCAGTTATTGTAATTACTATATTAAGTGCAAAGTACAGTATGTACTCTACATGGGCAACAGGACTGTAAAATAAAGTGATACCAATAAAACCTTCTGACAATAAAGCCAACATCAAAGTCTGTCATCAAACTCTACTTATCTAGTTGTTGTATGTTCTTTAATTAAGACCACAGTTAAAAAAGATGTACTCCCGGTTTCACAGACAAGGTCCAGACTAAAATGCATGTTTAAGCTGTTTTACCTGAAAGCAACTGTCTTAAAATATATCAGTGCCATTGTTTTGTCTCAAGATTCACACCAGTAGGCTAATGTATTTTTTCTGAGGCCTGGCTTAATCTAAGCCCAGTCTGTGAAACCAGGCCTAAGTTAGAATCATTTGGCTTAATTTAAATCATTTTAAGTCATCCTGAAGTTTGTTGAGGTGCTTTAGTTGAGAACCACAGAAACAATCAGTTACGGACAAACATCTTTCCTGAAAATGTTTTATTTTTTGTGACACAATTCAGCAAAGTCATTTATATTCAACATCTTAATACATATAGTCGTTTACTCCTATACAAGAGAGCGTCTAGAATTTAAAGTATGCCCCGAAAAATGAAGCAGTCTCAAAGTGTCACTCCACCAGTGGTGAAGCCTGTACACTGTACAAAAGACCAACGCGAGTCTCCGTCACACACACATGCTTTCCTCCACACACACTCGTTAAAGACATCTGTATACAGAGTAAAAACTCTGCCGTATAAAGAATGGACAGAAAATATTAGTTTAAAAGCAAAAAAAAAAAAAAATTTACATTTTAAAATTATATTAAAATTCATTTTAATCCTTATTTGGGTAACTAATTGTTATCAGCCGCGGAATAAAAAAATTTAAGATAATTGCGAGTTTTTATCTCACAACTGCGAAAAAAGTCAGAATGGCAATAAATACAGTCAGAGTTGCGAGAAATAAAGTCGGAATTGTGAAAAATAAATTCAGAATTGCAAGAATTAAAGTCAGAATTGCAAAAAATAAAGTCAGAAATCCAAGAAATACAGTCAGAGTTGCGAGTTATAAAGTCAGAGTTGCGAGAAATAGTCAGAATTGCGAGAAATGAAGTTAGAGTTCCGAGTTATAAAATCAGAATTGTGAGTTATAAAGTCAGAATTACGAGTTATTAAGTCACAATTGCGATGTTATAACTTGCAATTGAGAATATAGCTTGCAAATTTAGGGAAAAAAAATTAGAATTGTGAAATAAAAAGTCAACCTTTTTTGGCCTATTTTTTTGTCAGAAACTGTTTTTTTTTATATCAGAAACATAGATAACTCAGTCAATGATGTAATATCTGTAAGACAATCTCACCACCCTCATTACTAGTGCATTTTCTTAACTTTCGAGTGCCAGGAAGTCATTCATCTGAAGCCAAATAAATTCACTTATCCATCGAGATACAAAAAAACACTCACGAAAACCTGTCAGGAAATATGACTTGGACATGTGTCACACTGGAACAGGCCAAAGCAAACGAGAAATACATAAAGTGCAATAACTGTATACAAATCTAGAGCAGAAGTGCGGCAACTGAGAGGAAGTTTACTCTTCTATAGTTCAGGAAACATCCCTGAGAACGGGAGACATCAATTGAGTGTTAAAAAGTATAGTTCACCCAAAAATGAAAATTAGCCAATGATTTACTCACCCTCAAGTCGTCCTAGGTGTATGACATTCTTCTTTTTATTAGTTATATTAAAAAAATGTCCTGGCTCTTCCAAGGTTTATAATGGGAGTGAATGACTGTTTTGAAGTCCATAAAAGTGGATCTATACATTATAAAAGTGCACTTTTATGATGGAGAGATGCACTTTTATCACGGATGGATGCACTTTTATGATGGATAGATGCACTTTTATCATGGATGGATGTGCTTTTATCACGGATGGATGCACTTTTATCATGTATAGATGCACTTTTATGATGGAGAGATGCACTTTTATCACGGATGGATGCACTTTTATGATGGATAGATGCACTTTTATCATGTATAGATGCACTTTTATCATGGATGGATGTGCTTTTATCACGGATAGATGCACTTTTATCATGTATAGATGCACTTTTATGATGGAGAGATGCACTTTTATCACGGATGGATGCACTTTTATGATGGATAGATGCACTTTTATCATGTATAGATGCACTTTTATCATGGATGGATGTGCTTTTATCACGGATAGATGCACTTTTATCATGTACAGATGCACTTTTATGATGGAGAGATGCACTTTTATCATGGATGGATGTACTTTTATCATGTATAGATGCACTTTTATCATGTATAGATGCACTTTTATCATGGATGGATGTGCTTTTATCATGTTTAGATGCACTTTTATCATGTATAGATGCACTTTTATCATGTATAGATTCACTTTTATCATAGACAGATGCACTTTTATCATGGAGAGATGCACTTTTATCATGTATAGATGCACTTTTATCATGGAGAGATGCACTTTATCATGTATAGATGCACTTTTATCATGCATGGATGCACTTTTATCATGGAGAGATGCACTTTTATCATGGATGGATGAACTTTTATGGATTAAAACAGAAACAGCCAATTCACTGCTATTATAAAGCTTGGAAGAGCCAGGACATTTATTAATATCTGATAACTCTGACTGTATTCGTCTGAAAGACGAAACTCATAAATACCTAGGATGACTTAATTCAAAGGTAATTTTCATTCTTGGGTGAACTATCCCTTTAAAAAGTGAGTTTTAGCCATCATGCAACGAGGGCGCATTGTGTGTGTTCAGCGAGAGAAGGTGTGTGTGTCGTTGTGAAGGCTGACGGAGGGTGAGGAACGCTCTCTCTGAGCCGTGCAGGCGCTTCTGCTGCACCGGCAGCGCTGGATCCACATGACGTTACGTGTGATGTTCTCTCCGCCCGGGCAGAGGAACCGCAGACGCACCGTTCGGGAAGCGGACGGCCGACAGCACCTGCCATCCACACACACGCCACACACACGAGGCCGGTAGCGGCGAGCCGTGGAGCAGCCGGCAAACGTGATCCGCTCTGGTTCCCGAGACCTCACTGTCCGTCGACACTTCTTTCCTCTCTGAATGACATTACAAACAGGAAACCATTAATGAGAGTTATAATACCTATGCAAAGACAATATTTGTAAAACGGTTATCATGTTTGATTGAAGTTCCCCAGCTCTTAAAACACATCTTTGATCACCAAAATTACATTTTTATTCCTTGGAAAAATCCCTTCATGTCATCATGTAACTCGACACCCTTGCCTCATTTAGTATGCGTGATTCTATGAATATGCAAATGAGCCCCGCCTCCACTCACTCCCTCAGCTCAGAGTTCCACTGGTTGACGATCACACGTTGATCTGATTGGTTACAAGGTCATGTGTGACGTCAGAAACACCAGCGATTTCAAAGAACTTTAAAGAGAACATACTTGATGTCGACTTGTGAATTTACTAATGATTTGTCTTAAAGTGTATTAAAAACACCACATGGACATTAAACAACTTTAAAAGCTGGATTTTCACCGCAGGGGGACTTTTAGGGACACTAATTACTCATGCTCAAAGAGTCCCTTTCAAGGAAAGTCTGTTTACTCGGCGGCCATATTTGCAACACGTCTTTGGCAACTATTTCAGGCATCCCAGACTTGCCACTCTCACATCTCATACAGTAGATCTTCCTTTTGTGGAAGTCTTAAGAAAAACGGTAACACTTTACAATACGGGTGCACTAAAAAAGCATTCATTCATGCTTAACTAATGCCCAGATAATACTGAATTAATGTGTAACTAATGATTATCTATTACCACATTAGAAACTAATTAAGAGTCTGTAAGGTTAATGTATTAGTTCATACATGAATTGTTATTAATTAAATATGTAATTGTGGACTAATTCCATAATAACTCGTTTTTTTAACTAATATTGTTAATGAATATGTTAATTACCAGAATGAGTCAAAGCCTTGTATTTCAACTTCCAGATAAAATGACAGGTACACTAATATGCATTAATACATGATTAATTACTTCATTGTTAGTGCAAATACATGTGCAAATTACTATAATTACTAAATGACTAGTTAATAATGACGTGCCCCAACAAGTAAAGTCATAACATAATGATACCTTTGCAAATCATTAGCTAATGATTAATTAAAGCAGACAACTGGAAGTTGAAGTGCATAGCTTTGACTAATTGTGGGAATTAACACATTCATTTACACGGTTAGTTAATAAAATATGTTATTAAGGAATTAATACACAATGAATGACACATTGCAATTCATGTATTACTTAATCTATTAATCATATAGACTCTTTATTAGTTGCTGATGCAGTAATTATTATTTAATGGTTTAGTTCTTCATTAGTCATACATTAACTCAGTATTATCTGTGCATTGGTCAAGCATGAATTAATGCATATTAGTGCACCCGTATTGTAAAGTGTTCCAGAAAAACGTATATGGGTATATAGATGATTGAATTTACAGTTTCATTTCACTACATCTCACCTTCATAGCTGGCGTGATGTCACATTCTCGGATCTGGCAAAGGCGCGTCTCTCTAACCAGCTTGCACTGTGCATTGCTATTGCTCACACGACTGGAGATGCCAAACCCGCAGGAAGCAGAACATTCGGACCAGTCGGTGGTCTGTGGGAAACACTGGGATGTTGGGAAGGGGACCAGAGACACCGGCACAGACGCCCACTCTGCGACGTAAATGAGAAAACAAACACCTTTGTGGTTGCTAAGGTACTTTAACTGTTGCTAAAGTGTTCAGAGTGGTTGCTAGGGCATAATGGGTGGTTACTAGGGGGTTCTGGGTGGCTGCTAGGCCACTAAGTCCCCCTGTTGTCAATCATTTTATGCCTTAAAACTCATCAAAATGATATATTTAAAAAATCTTGATGCCTTAAAATATCTTGAATGTAACTCGACACCCTTGCCTTATTTAGTAAACGCCGTTCTATAAATATGCAAATGAGCCCCGCCTCCACTCACTCAGCTCAGAGATCCACTCGGCCACCAACATACTGAAGGAAACGCTGCACAATGGTATCGCTCTTTACAACATCGGACACATAACGGTAATTAATGTGACTGATTAGCCTTTTGCTTGACTAAGTTATCAAACCGCTAATAATGTGTTGCTAATGAACACACACCATGCCATTCGAGTCACACAGCAGTCTTATAAACATCAGTATATACGAAACGCTTTGAACAACTCAGAACATGAGTGGAGACAGGCATATAGTTCATCATAACATTATAATATACATCACATACATAATTCACTCGCTATATTACTAAATCGACCCGATTTTTCATATCAACAGAAAAATATACCGGGATAACCTGCTTCTCTAGAGACTCCCCTGCTAGTTCACTGTTAATGATATGCGGAAGCCCGCCAGCACCTTCATCTGATTGGCTACAAGGTAGTTTGTGACGTCAGAAACAACAGCGATGTATTTCGTCCTGAAAACTGCAGTGAACCAAAAACACGCTTTGAAATCGCTGGTGTTTCTGACGTCACAAACCACCTTGTAACCAATCAGATCAACGTGTGATCGTCAACCAGTGGCTGAGTGCGTGAGTGGAGGCGGGGCTCATTTGCATATTAATAGAACCGTGAATACTAAATGAGGCAAGGGTGTCAGGTTACATTCAAGCTATTTTAAACCATGAAGATGTTTTTTTTTTTCAGTGAAAAACACTTTAAATATGTAATTTTGTTGATCAAAGATGAGTTTTGACGGCTGAAGTGTGGAAGTGTGATACCTTGAACCCCGGTGGACTGTGGGCTGTCAGGGCTCTGTAAGAGTCTGCTGATGTGGTTGTACGCGGTGTGTTGAGGACGGGGGTCCGACGCCTCTTCCCTGATGCTGTTCTGATGCTCACACACCCACTCCTCACAGCAGCGGCCCGGTGGCGTCTCCAGGCGAGGGTGTGTGCAGTGTGTGTCGGGCACAGGGATGTGGTGTGGACACACAGGCATGCAGCCCAACACACCATCCATACAGACGCACTGGTGTCTGCAGTCGGGCTGGAAGTCCTCGCCGTGCTGATACACACGCCCACCAAACTCACACGGGCGGCCCTGGGCGTCAGCTGACACACACACACACACACACGAGTTCAGTCAAGAGCTGTTGATGGAGACACTTTCTGTATCTTATTTAAAATAATGTTAAAAAACATGATTCAATCACTTTTGGGTCCCACTTTATTTGCATGTGGAGGAGAACTGAACTAATCTATCTATCTATCTATCTATCTATCTATCTATCTATCTATCTATCTATCTATCTATCTATCTATCTATCTATCTGTCTGTCTGTCTGTCTGTCTGTCTGTCTGTCTGTCTGTCTGTCTGTCTGTCTGTCTGTCTGTCTGTCTGTCTATATATCTGTCTGTCTATCTATCTGCCTATCTATCTATCTATCTATCTATCTATCTATCTATCTATCTATCTATCTATCTATCTATCTATCTATCTATCTGTCTGTCTGTCTGTCTGTCTGTCTGTCTGTCTGTCTATATATCTGTCTGTCTGTCTATATATCTGTCTGTCTATCTATCTGTCTGTCTATCTATCTGCCTGTCTATCTATCTATCTATCTATCTATCTATCTATCTATCTATCTATCTATCTATCTATCATGTAAAATTTTACAAACACAAAAATCTTTTTTATCTTCTGAGTTTAAATTGAATTTGAAAAAAAAAAAAACTTACGATAATTTTTCCTTGAAATATTTTTTTTTCTTTACAGTAAAAGAATCATCGGGAACTGAAAAGTTCTCCTCACTGAAGAATCCCCCCCATTGTTTTATTTTTACAGTAAAGCAGTCAGTCCCAGAATGCCGTGTGTTTGCCTCACCTCTGCAGAGTCCCTGGCGCGGGTCCCCTCCGGCCCCCAGGTGGCAGCGCAGGCCCTTGATGTGGTCGCAGGGTCGGTCAGGGCCACAGGGCTGGTTAAACTGTTGAGCACAAACCTTACAGCATCCGCACTCGTCCAGCACCCGACTGACCCCGAGCGGACAGGACGGAGGGTCCCGAGGGCACGAGCACGGCTGGGCACAGCCGACGGATCCCTAGGGAACATGCTCTCAGGTTATACGTTATCCCGAGAGTTCACTTTAGACATTCTACTCACTATAAATAACTAGGCAACTATACAAGTCAAATTATTCTACTAACCCCAACCATAACACATAACCCTAACCTAACAGTCTACTGACATGTACAGGTGAAACTCGAAATATTACAATATCCATTTATTTTCAGTAATTCAACTTAAAAGGTGAAACTAATATATTATATAGACTCATTACATGCAAAGTGAGATATTTCAAGCCTTTATTTGTCATAATTGTGATGATTATGACTTTCAACATATGAAAACACCAAATTAAAAAAAAACACCAAATTCAAAAATAGAATAATAATCATCACAATTAACAAATAAAGGCTTGAAATATCTCACTTTACATGTAATGAGTCTATATAATGTATTAGTTTCACCTTTTAAGTTGAATTATTGAAATATATTAACACAATGCACATTTGCATGATATTCAAATTTTTCGAGTTTCGCCTAGTTGCAAAGTTACTTAAAATGAGTAGAAAGTGGACTATCGAAATATAGTGTATCACTCACTTCATTACATGAAGATCCGCAGCCGGTTGCATATAAGATCTAGCATGACCCACTAATAGTTAAGGGGTAATCAGACTTACTTTTTGCTATCAGATTAAGCCAATCTACATTTTTATGGACATTATAGCTGCTTTAAAAAAGGTATGAACAGTCTTAAAGAAAAACAAACTGATGTCTAACGGAGCGAGCAGAAGGCTTTCACTGGGATGTGATGTAGGAATTGTTTCTGTAAGTGTGTATGAGTGTATTTATATAAAACACTCACTTAGGTGTCTGTGGCGCCGCTGTTACCGGCAGGAGCTATTTGTATTCCTGATACAAACTAGTCTCAAAATGGCATGCTTATACTTTAAAAGTCGAAATAATAATAATAATAATGTTTCTGAAAGAAGTCTCTTCCGCTCACCAAAAATTCAATCAAAAATTCTGCAAAAACAGTAATCTTGTGAAATATTATTGCAATAAAAAAAAAAGTTTTCTATGCGAATATAATAGTAAAGTGTAATTTATCCCTGCGACTTTCAGCATCATTATTCCAGTCTTCAGTGTCACATGATCCTTCAGAAATCATTTTAACATGAGGATCTGATGATCAACAAACATTTATGATCAACAGTTGCGCTGCTTCATAATATCGTGAAACCGATATTTATTCAGAATTATTTGATGAATAAAGCGTTTTTTTTTGATCAGTATTGTTTTTAAATAGAAATATTGGTAACACTTTACAATACGGATGCGTACTGAATTCATGTGTAACTAATGATTATCTAAGCTATTCAATAATGATTACCACACTAGGAAGTATTTTTTTTTAAACTAATATTGTTAATTAATATGTTAATTACCAGAATGAGTCAAAGCCTTGTATTTCAACTTCCAGATAAAATGACAGGTACACTAATATGCATTAATACATGATTAATTACTTCATTGTTAGTGCAAATTCATGTGCAAATTACTATAATTACTAAATGACTAGTTAATAATGATGTGCCCCACCAAGTAAAGTCATAACATAATGATACCTTTGCAAATCATTAGCTAATGATTAATTAAAGCAGACAACTGGAAGTTGAAGTGCATAGCTTTGACTAATTGTGGTAATTAACACATTCATTTACACGGTTAGTTAATAAAATATGTTATTAAGGAATTAATACACAATGACACATTGCAATTCATGTTTTACTTAATCTATTAATCATATAGACTCTTTATTAGTTGCTGATGCAATAATCATTAATTAATGGTTTAGTTCTTCATTACTCATACATTAACTCATGATTATCTGTGCATTAGTTAAGCATGAATTAATGCATATTAGTGCACCCGTATTGTAAAGTGTTCCAGAAATATTTAATACTATCATAAATGTCTTTACTGTCACTTTTTATCAATTTAATGCATCCTTGCCAAATAAAAGCATTTCTGACCCCAAGCTTTTGAACAGAAGTACATTTTTCTACTTTAAAATAAATAAATAAATACAATCATATAAAACGTAGTTGGACATAAAAATACATGTTTACAATCTTCATATGTCATCACAAACTATTAGTTTTGAGAATGTCTGAGAAATAAATTTGGTTTATTTCGTTCTAAAGACAGAAATGAATAAGCATTAGGACGAATCAATAAACTGTTTGTAATTTCCCAAAAGATGCATTTTCTAGGATCACACAGCTATCAAACATGAACAGATTTCTTTTGCAATCTCGGTGAACGTCCATGTGTGTAACATACAGGACAGAATCAACTCACCTCTCCTTCAGATGAGCACAAAACAAACAGAAACAGCGTCCACATGACGGCCCGGGTCCTTCGATTCCTTCCAGAACACATTTCCACACTTCACAAAATAAATAAAAAATATTAAAATCCCCAATGCAAAAAGCAGGTTTATCCTCTTTCTATCGGACTCCGAAGATCTCAGAGGGTGTCGTCCGGCTCGTCTATTTAAGTAAAACTAGTTTCTAAAAGTGCAGCAAGACTCAAACTCAGATGCCTCGTCAGTTTCACAGAGCATTTCCAAAGAGGCAGGACACCTTATAGTGAGAGAGCGAGAGAGAGAGAGAGAGAGAGCATCTGGATCAGAGCAGTGGGAGTGTGTCTTCATAATGAGGGATCCCTTATTTGTGTTGCCGGACCTCTAGGGAACAGGGTGTGAATGCAAAACTGCAAGGTCTCAGTAGTGTGGATTACAAATGACAATGAAATGACACAAAACCACCAAGACACTTAATACAGGCCTAACAAACACTTAAATATAGGGTGTTCACCTGACCACACAATCTAATTGGCCGTTTGTTGTGTGTTATGAAAGCAGGAGAAACATTGTTATAGTGGAACAATTGGGAAGGGAACTCCACCGCTTTCCGTTTGGATGGGAAGTCCTGATGCAGATGCGAAGGAAAATCCCCATAAACAACTCAGCTCACACACACACACACACACACACACTACATTCTCATTGTCGTACATGAAAAGTGTTTTCTATTCATTCGCAGGAAGAGCTCTCCACTGGGCCTCGGGTTTGTGTTGTGAAACTCAGGAAGAGAAACATGGGAAAGTAAGATCTCCAGAGATCGCTTTAATTTTTCTTTGAATGTATTTATTTATTTAAAAGGGTAGTTTTGCTGATAAAAAAACTTTTGCTGATAATTTACTCACCCCCATGTCATCCAAGATGTCCACGTCTTTCTTTCTTCAGTTGAAAAGAAATTAAGGTTTTTGATGAAAACATTCCAGGATTTTCTCCATATAATGGACTTCAATGGGGTCCAAACAGTTCAAGGTCCAAATGAGAGTTTCAGTGCAAACTGTTCAAAGGGCTTTAAACGACACCACACGATGAATAAGGGTCTTATCAAGCGAAACGAGCGGTCATTTAATAAATAAAGAACAAAGTTTAAGTTTTATAAGCTCAAACGCTCGCCTTGCTCTGTTCCGTTATGCGCGTTCGTGACTCTCCTGTTTGAACAACCCGGTCTCATCCCAAGACGTCATATAACTGACGTTTTGGGACGTCTTTTGACCATACGTCAATATTCGCCTTTTTAGGGCCCCCTTAAACGTCGGTAGATGAGGTTATGGGATCCTAACTCTACCCCAGACCTAAACCTAACCCTAAACCTAACCCGTCACCTAACTGACGTTAAAGGTAAAGCGTCAGTTGTATGACGGCCCGGGATCACCATTTACCGACGTTTAAGGGTGCCCTAAAAAGGCGGATATTGACGTATGGTCAAAAGTCGTCCCAAGACGTCAGTTATATGACTTTTTGGGATGAGACTGTGTTAGTTTGAACTCGTTTATCAAAATGAACAAATCTTTTTTTCATGTCATTTGGTTCATTAAATGAACGAAACGAACGAATTGACTAGGAAAAAGATTCGTTCATTTTGATGAACGAGTTCAAACAGGAGAGTCACAAACGCGCGTCACAGAACAGAGCAAGGCGAGCATTTGAGCTTATAAAACTTAAACTTTTTTTTTTTTTAACGAGCGATCTTTTCGCTTGATAAGACCCTTATTCATCGTCTGGAGTCGTTTAAAGCCCTTTGAACAGTTTGCAGTTTGTACTGAAAGTGTCTTATGGACCTTGAACCGTTTGGTTCCCATTGAAGTCCATTATATGGAGAAAAATGCTGGAATGTTTTCATCAAAAACCTTAATTTCTTTTCGACTGAAGAAAGAAAGACATGGACATCTTGGATGACATGGGGGCGAGTAAATTATCAGCAAAAGTTTTTTTCAAAACTGAACTACTCCTTTAATCTGAATCTGAAGAATATACACTTAAAAAATGATCAGCAGAAGTTGTCAGAGCTTTAACGTAAAAAAAAATACGGTAAACATTTTACTCTGTAAATCCCAATGCTCAAAATAAGTAATTAGTTTGAGTAAGGCAAACTTAAAGCAAATTGATTTTTATTAAATTAACTTTTTTTGAGTATATATAGAGTTCAGAAAACTGACATATTTTAAGTAATCTGAATTTTTCATTGTTTTTTGATGAACTTGTTTCTTTTAATTGAGACAAACTTAAATTGGACTGAAACTCGTCTGGGATTTTTATTTTCCCAACATGCTTTGCCATATCACACGAAGGGGAGCGTAAATGCTCAAATGAACTGTTATATAATGTTATCGAGTGGAGCATGAGCTTAGTTTAAAGGTGTGTTTCATATTTCAGTGCTCATTCAGCAATTGCTATGGCTATCAAACCATTGTGTAGCGAATTAGCAAGTTAGCAAGTTAGCATTTAGTAGAATAGCTAAGATTCCACTACTAAAAATATTTAAATTGATATTCCATGATAATTTTAAGTAAAATGTATATGAGTTAGCTTTACTCAAATATTTCAAGTTAAGATCACGAATCACAAATCGTCCAGTTCTGCTTAGTTAAACCTTGAATTTTATAACTTAAAAATGTTGATGGTACCGATTGAAAATATTTTGATGGTATACTAGATTTTCTACTCACTAAAAGTAACATCGGCATACGTCATTGGCCTTTCAGGCGAGAACTGATTCTGCAAATACAAGAGTGCGATATCCCATGGTCTATTAGTAAACCGACTGCATGGGAACTTTGCGACTCTAAAACTCTTACCTGGGTGTGTAAACGCAGAGTTTGAGGCGTGTTGATCAGTATTTTAATTTGATTGTTTTGGTGATAACCAGTGGAATAAAATATGTTTAAAAATTACAATTCATATTCAAACGAAGTGCAGTTGTGACTACTCTTGGATATGAAGAAGTTTCCTCATCAAGGAACCTGTCTTGTAGAATCGATTCAACTGAGTCAACTCTCGATTCAGAATCAATTCTTCAGAAGCACCACGACTGCATCTTTAGACGATAAAACTATGAAACGTTTGGTGTATGTGTGACACACTGTCACTTGATGGTGAAGAAGCCGTTAGCAATGAAAATATAGATTGAAATTGATCAGATGTGGTTGAGTATATTAAAACTGAATAAATGGCACAATAATCTCCAACTAAACTCAGTGTGGTGCGGTTTAAACACTAGAATGAATCATATGAGAGGGTGAGAAATGTGAGCGAGTAACTTTGAGAGACAGGCGAGGAGCAGGAAGGAGGGGTACAGGTGTTTGCGTGTGTGTGTGTGTGTGTGTGTTTGTGTGAGTGTGTGTTTGTGCATGTGTGGTATGCACCACTCAGCTCTTTATGCAAATACCCAGACATAGCAATCACAAGAAAGGAGGGTCAGCTCAGTAGTAATTCTTGGGAGAGCCGAGTGTCGGCCTGGAGAGAAGAAGAAGAAGAGAAAGAGGCGGCCAGAATTCCAGGGATTCCTGTCCCACAAAAGCAGGATATGTGCACTGGCTCTCTCACGCTGAATGATGGAGAGAAGAGGTCATTAACACCAGGAGAGAGAGAGAGAGAGAGAGAGAGAGAGAGAGAGAGAGAGAGAGAGAGAGCGAGCAAGCAACAGACATGGCCAAACCCCAGCCATTGTTATCGGACCAGACAAACATTTCCAAGGAAGAGGTCAAGTGGACAAGGTTATGCACTGTACACCTCCACAGGTTAAATAATATGCTCTATATTGTCCAGATCTTAAGAAAATATCTGTACTGGGGCAGTATAGAGCCCATAAACTAAGATAATGATCTGAGGAACCGAATCTCGCCAATTCAATTCAATTCGACTAGACTATTCTTTGTTAAACCTAAGAAACATTGATGGATCTTTATTTTGAGGACAACCTTTATGTTTAAAGGGATCCCTTGTGCAAAAAATGGTTGTCGGTATAGTGAGCAGTACACTTTAACCATGTTTCAGACAATAGATCTATCAATTATGACAAAACACTCTGTTGTCAATAATTTATCCTTTAAAACTCATCTTTGATCACCAGCGTTTTTTTTCCTTGGAAAAAGAAAATTCCGCCTTAAAATAGCTTGACTGTAACTCGACACCCTTGCCTCATTTAGTATTCGCGGTACCATGAATATGCAAATGAGCCCCGCCCCCACTAACTCACTCAGCTCAGAGATCCACTGGTTGACGATCACACGTGGATCTGATTGGTTACAAGGTCGTTTGTGACGTCAGAAACACCAGCGATTTCAAAGTGTTTTTGCGACTGTCTTTGGTTCTGCAGTTTTAAGGAGGAAATACTCAGCAATGTTGTTGTCCACTTATGAATTTACACATGGTGTGTCTTAAAGCATATTAAAAACACCACACAGACACATAAACAACAATCTTGTAGCAAAATGCTAATTCTTGCTAGCAACATGTTAATAGGCTATGTTAAATCATGCTAGCACTAAACTTTAGCCTCAAGTTAAATTTAAACTGCAAAATTTTAATTTAATCACAATTAACATGTGATTAAGTGTCCAAAAACTTTACATTCAGTTCACACTCAAGTATATTCTTCTTAAAGTCCCCTTGAAATCAAAATTGAACCTATTTACTTTGTTAGCGCATATTACTAGTCTTGTGGTGAACAATTAATCCGTGCAAGTGAATATATATATATATATATAAAAAAAATGTTTTACCTTGGTAATCTTTATTTAAAATCTGAAAAGTTACTTCCGGTCTGGAACGGTTTCTTTTTCTGATGACGTAGGTTTCACAGTTTGGGTGGGGAAACGCTTAACCACTCCCCTCAAGCCGTTAGTTTGCTATGAGCGAGAGATGAAGAGGAGGAGCGCTAGAGTAAAACCCTGCCCTCTGTTCAATATTCCGTTTCACTTGGAAATAAAAAATCGTTTGCAACTTCCGGTTCACGGGGACTTTAAGTATATTATATCCTTAACAAATACTCTTTTTGAAAGGATGCTGATGTACTCATTTATACACATCCTTGTGTCGTTTCAAGATCAGTGGAATATAAAGAAAGATATTTTGAGAAATGTCCGTAATTTAGTATTTTTTCCCTTACAATGGAAGTTTGAAGAACTGTTTGGTTACCAATGTTCTTCAAAACATCTTTGTTTGGCCTTTCAGGTGAGTTCCAATGTTGACAGAAAGGTATTCTGGTTATAGGAACAACACAAGGGTGAGTAAATTATGACAGAACCTTCATTTTTGAGTGAACTATCCCAAAATAACCAGTCCGATTAAAAAACAAAAACAAAAAATCATCAGAATCCCAGACGGTTGGTCACGATCCGGCCCACATCTGGTACACTTTGAATGCATATGTGGATGTGGCCCAG